CACACACACACACACACACACACACACACACACACACACACACACACCCACCCACCCACCCACCCATCCACACCTCTAAGGTTAGCAATGCCCTTCAGGCAGCCTTCACCAGACCTGTTGGCGTCCTCACCAGGTAATCTTGCTCCAACTTGTGTACAGAATGTACCACCCATCCCCTACCCTGTTCCCATCGCTTCCCTGGCTCTATTAAGCACAGGCACCAGTAGCAGCTCACATAACTTACCATGATATAAGAAGCATTGATGTAGTCTGTACCTTCCCCTGCCAGTGATGAAATGCCAACCCTTGACCTTTCCACTGTAAGAAAGAATGCTCATTGTGAACTAATATGTCGATGGGGGCAGTTTCGATTACTCTGATGCTTTTAAGTGAAGATGCCTCCAGCAGGTAAGTGCTTTGGGCATCTTACCTGTTTTCTTTGTTCTAAAATGGCTGCAAGTATTCAATATTCCTTTATTATAAACACATTAGAAATGCTAAAATATTCTATCTCAGAGACGCCTTGGAGAGGCACACTGATTCTAAGTGGTGCTAAAATCCTCAAGCCGCCTCCAACCTATACTGTTTATAGGCATCCTCGTAGAAAACGAGTTTGATTCAATACTGAACATGCAGACGCCTACCAGGAATGATAGATGAAGTTCGGTTCTTCTCCCTGTTACACTGCTTCAGGGCTGTAGAATAATCACACTGCTGTATATTAGATTGACTCAGAAGCTAGAAAAAAAATAAGGCGAAGGAAAAGATTTGTAGACAGGAGTGATTCAATGAAACATGAAATGTAAACACACCTGGCTTGTCTTTGCCAAGCATGTCCAGTTTTAATGGATAACCTCAGGCAGCTAATTCCTTGATACAGAACCACCTCCCACAGAGTAGGAAGAAGTAGAACACCCAGGCCTCCATTTGAGTTCTGTGGGCAGACATTATCTCTCTGCAGCCTTTGTGCTCTCCGTGATTTTGGTAATATTTGTCTTTCCCTTCTGCTTTCATACCACACTGTAGTTTGAAAATCAGTTGGGTGCTATTAAATTTATCAAACTCTGAATATGAAATTGAAAAGTGAAACAGATTGCATGGTTCAGTTTATTTTATCACCTTGCTTGGAATTAAAGAGGTAACATAGGACAGAGTCAGATAATCTGAGTTTAAATCCTGATTTCTGCTATTTACTCCCCATATGACCAAGGGCATGAATCTTGAACTCTCTGAGCCTCAGTTTCATTATTTGCCAAAAAAAAAATTATAAGAAACAACAACCACCAGAAAAACCAAGAATTTGAATGAGTTGCTCTCTAAGGACCCTTCCAGCTCTTATTTTCATGAATCAAGGCCCTTGAAGTCATTATTACAGTAAAAAGCAATTTTATTGTGCAGGTGGAGCTATAAGAGGAGGGAGAAATACTACTCTGACATTCTGTATTTTTGTTTGTTTCTGCTTTGGAACACATTTTATAATGAAAAAGGCCCCCTTTTTTCTGTCCTAGAATCCTATCTCCTAAGTCAAATCTGCAATTCAACATGGAATGGAAAAAAACTTTAGTAAATATTCTCAAGGCATTCTCATTCTAATGAAGGGTGAAAACACATAAAAGAAGGCTCGGCCTCAGCCTGCTAGGTTTTGAGTCAAGGAAGAACTGGGTTCAGTTGCTCCCTTTGGCATTTATATGTGGTCCTGGATGACTTCCTGGGACATCTACGAACGCATTATTGATAAGTTGGTGGAAAGAGTTCTGCCACTGAATATAGATGTATTTGCCTATAAGTATATCCTCCTAGTCAAGGAGGGGTCCTCATTAAAGTCTGGAATATACCATCTTGAATAGATCAGATGAAACACCGCGTATGCTGGAGATGGCCAAGGTGTAGCTACCTTCGAGCGGTTGAAGGGACATCAGGTAGAACAAGGATGACTTGTCCTGCTTGACCCCAGTGTCAGAGTTAGGAGGAATAAGTGGTACCTGCATAATCACTGCTTATTTTATGGGAGTAGGAGAGAAAAAAGGAAAATGGCCACTTATGTCAACTCTTTTGGGTTGGCCAGTAGCCTAGAGCTATTCTTGGTTAGCTTTAACTGGCTGGAAGTTTTTTCCTTACATTTAGTCTAAATTGGGGCAATTAGAGTGGGACAGTCCAAGAACAGAACAGACCACTTAGGGAGGTAACAGAGGCCAGGGGCTGCCTATCAAATATTATGACCTCCATGATGACTCCCCATGATTCTGTCAAGTGGATGTGCGTGCTTGCCTTCCTCAGACCTTGTTTATATCTCTCTTAAACAACTATGCTTTATTTTTATTATACAAATATGCATAAGAGTCATAATTTTAGTTACATGAACTCCTTGCACTAATGCAACCTAGCTGTGACTTTGTAGATCATGGGCTACAGGAGCATAGATTTGGAGTTGGAATGATCCTTAGAAGTTATTGAGTCCAAAAACCTCATTTTATAGAAGAGGAAACCGAGGCCCAGAGAAGTTAAGTGATTTGCCCATGGCCACATAGCTCGTTAGGTGTTAGAGGTAGAATTTGAATCCTGGACTTCTTAGACTCCAAGTCAGTCACTCAGTCAGTCAATAAGCATTTATTAAACACTTATTAGTTGCTAGGCACTATATAGCACTGCAGCAATTACCACCACATTGACTCATTTTGTAGTAAAGGCTGCTTGCAAATCTGTCATTTTCGTATGGGAGATTCTATGTTCTATTAGGGCAAAGAGCATAACTCATCTCTAGTCTATGGCTCTCCTAGCACCTAGCACAGTGTTCTGCTCAGAGCTGATGCTTAATAAATGACTACTGAAATAAGTATAATTGAGTTTCTAATGAATCTTCCAAGATACTCTTCTGACCAAGGCTATTTGAGCAATAGGACATCCAAGCAGACAGTGCCAAAATGCTGGACAACAAAACAGCAATCCATCCCATTTCCATCTCCCCACCTCCACATCCAACTTATCCCTTTGTTCCCAATGGAGAAGCCTATATGTTTCCTGGAATCAAACTATGTATAGTTCACATGCATAGCAACACCTACACATTCATTTTCTGAATTTTTCCTTTCTAGGTTTCTGGAGCTTGAAGAACACGGAGGGGGTACAGTAAAGTTTGCTCCCTTATCTACTGTGTTGTGATAAGGAGGGGTGTGGAAGTCTGAGTCTGAAGAAGCTATTATTCCTGTAGGGAAAAAAAGCAGACTGATTCTTGTCACTATATCTTGAGTCAGTCTTTCCATGGGATGTATGGATCTTTTTTCTAAGAGAAGCGTGAATAGCCACGGCCTTAGCTCTTATAGTAAGTGGTCTGGTTCTTTCAGAAGTAAAGAGTACTTATAAAGTTGGTATGACAAGTTTCTCTTGTTCCGTCCATTCTTCCCTGTGCCCCCCTTTCCTGGAATGACTTGGCATTTATACAAGTCTGACTAAGGTTTCTGAAAAGAACTTTTTCCTCACACGCAAAAAGTTACGGATCTCCTTGAAATTGTCCCTGCTTCTTTGTTCCAAGTAGTTAAGAATGAAAATACAAAGCTGCCATGCCAATGATACTTAGTCCACTCCAGTGGCCTTGGAGACTAGCACGGTAAGAGACAAGAATGTGGCAACATTTTTTCCCTTTGATAACTGGGCATCCGTGAGTACTCACCTTGAATTGCTTCTCGAGTTTCGTCTTCCCTGATGGTCCAGGAATGAGGAGAGCATTGACATAGGCGTGCATATGACTGTCCAGCACCTCTGTTTCTTTACTAAGTATGGCCTCAACTAGGGCATCATGAATGAAGACATACTGCTCCTGGCAAAACAATGCAAAGTACCATTATCTTATGCTTTTCTTGTACTTCTACAGTGTGCTCCATCTTCGGAGGACAAAGGCTTTACAAAATAAAAAGAAATAAAAAAAGTTTAAAAATGAAACTTCACAAGATCTCTGGTAGAAGTTAGATACAGGACATGGAAAAAGATAAGAGAGAATATTATCTATTTTTTTTTATTCTTCTGCATTTTCCTCCTACTTTCTCCTACCATGCCTTTTCCTTCTACCTTCAATCAATCAATCTATCAACAAAAAATATTCACTAAACACCTCCTATGTGTCAGGCACTGTGCTAACCACTGGGATATACAGAAAGGTAAAAACAGTCCCTGCTGTTAAGGAGCTAATATTGGAAGAGACAACAAGTAAATGACTACGTATATACAAGATATGTATAGAGTAATTTGGAAGTCCTACCAGAGGTAAGAAGACAAGTAGTTGGGAGGACCAGGCCGGGGATTTGACCTGAGATTGATGGAAGCAAGAAAAACTGAAGTGGATGTGAGAAAGGAAAGCATCCAAGATGTGAAAACAGAAATGGAAGGCAGGATGTCACATATAAGGAACAAGCAGGCCAGGGTAGATGGATCAGAGAGGGAATGGAAATGAGTAAATTGTAAGACTGGAGAGGCAGGAAGGAACTGGGTTATGAAAAGCTTTATGTGAGTAATAGAGGAGTTTATATTTGATCTTAGAGATAATAGTGAGCCATTGGAATTTGCCACGTAATGGGTGACCTGGTAAGACCTACGCTTTAGGAAAATCATTCTGGCAGTTGAGTGAAGGATAGATTGGTGTGGGGAGAGCCTTGAAATACAGTAACTAATTGAAAGGCCAGATGGTTGATGAGGGCCAATAGAATGGTGGCTGTGTGAGAGAAGGGAGCATAGATGACAGATGATATGAAGATAGAAACAACACGATTTGGTAACAGATTGGCTATATAGGGTCAGTGAAAGTAAGAAGTTGAGGATGAGGTAGAGCTTATGAACCTGGATTGCTGGGAGGATGGTAGGGCCCTTAAGAGTAATAGGAAAGTTCAGAAGAACAAAGAACTTTGGAAGAAAGGTAGTTATTTAGACATGCTGAGGTTGAGATCTTCCAGTTTGAGATGTCCAAGGCAGTTGGTGATGTGGGAGTAGAACACAGGACAGACAGACAGTAGGGTGAATATACAGATCATCTGTATGTTGTGGGTAACTGAATGCATGAGAGGTGGTAATATTGACAAATGTGCTAATAAAAAAGGAAAAGGGGAGGAGGAGGGAAGAAAAAAAAAGAAAGTTACATGATAACTTTATTATATATTTAAAAGGAATAGCAAACTGTACATAAGAGATTTGCAGTTTCATGGGCAATCATCTTTGTTCTGTTCTATTATGTTATGGAAGTGCTTGTTTTATTTCATAAATTAAAAATGAAATAAATAAATTTTTTTTAAAAAACGAGAAGAGGACTCAAGGCACAGGAGGCCACAGAAGCCAGGAGACGGGTCTTGTCCAGGGCAGGAAGCCTGAGTCCAGAGTTTGAGAAAGTCCTGGGGCAGGCTGGAGATCAGCAGAAGCTGGGAGAAGGTTCTCAGGGGTCTTGTCCTAGGGGGTACAAAATGTCCTGGGGACAGGAACAGAAGCTGAGAGGGACAGAGCCAAGGACGGAAGCGACGGAATTTGGCAGGCACTTCCCTATCCTTTCATTTCCATAGCCATGGCTTCATATCAGACCCTGATCACTTCTGGTGATTGCCTGGACTGTTGTAGCAGCCTTCCAACTGGTCTTACTGTGTCAAATCTCTCCCCACTATAATCTTTTGACTTAGATGCCAAAGTGATCTTCTTTAAAGCACAAGATCTGACCAAATCATCCCTCTCAGCGACTCAGTAAACTTCAGTGGCTTTCCATTATCTAAATAACCAAATAGAGACTTCCCTATTTGGCATTAAAGTTAGTCACAACCTAGCCACCTCCTACTTTTCCACCCATTTTTTACACATTTCTCCCCATCCTCACATCCTACAATTATAGCACAGACAAATCAGACTACTTACTATTCTTCACACACACCACTCTTCCCATTTCCATGCCTTTGCACTGGTTGCCCCTATACCTAGAATAAACTCTTCATATCCATTTCTTGGAATCCCTGATTTGCTTCTGGGTGAGGCCTTTCCTGGCCTCAAGATATTTGTGTGTGTGTATGTGTGTGTGTGTATATACACATGTATGTACGTACGTACGCATGTATATATCCACACACATATGTAGGCATGTGTCTACAAACACATGTGTATTTATATATCTATTTGTATGTATATATACATGCATACATATACAGTACACATATATACATATACTTACATGTGTATTTTGTATCTCTCTCTTTCTATATGTATGTATGTATATATGTGCAATTCGGTGGTGCTACAGTAGATAGAGTGTCAGGTCTGGAGTCAGGAAGATTCATCTTCCTAAGTTCAAATCTGGCTACAGACTCTAGTTGTGTGACCCTGGGCAAGTCACTTCACCCTGTTTCCCTCAGTTTCTTCATCTATAAAATGAGCTGGAGAAGGAAATGGCAAATTGCTTCAGTATCTTTGCCAAGAAAAATCCAAATGTGTTCTCAAAGAGCTGGATACAACTGAAATGACTGAACAATAACACATACATATATGCAGAAATGTGTGTGCCTGTGCATATTTTTAGATACACACACAGACTGTCTCCCCATTTAAAGCAAAGATTGTTTTGGTTTTGTCTTTGTATTCCCTGGCTCATTGCACATCTGGTATGTGGTAAGCGCTTAATAAATGCTTGGTTGATTGACATAAATTGAGAGGTTGGTCTCTTGTCCCATCTGGAGGATTAGAATAGTGGTTATTACTATTCTGAAAAATTGATTCATTTAGCCTTAAAACTGAAACCTACAAGGAAATCCATGGGTAGACCCAGAATTGAGTCTCAACTCTCATTAATCAGCTATATGACCTTGTCAAATCACTTAACCTCTTTGGGATTTAACAATCAACAAGCATTTATTAAGTGGCTCTTATGTGTTATGCTATAATTTCACCAGTTGGAAAAAGAGTGGGGTTGATTAGATGATTTTAAAGTAACCATCTAGGAAATTGAAGGCAGGTAGGTGGCACAATGGATAAAGTGCTGGACCTGAGGTAGGAACACTTGAGTTCAATCTAGTCTCAGACATTTTCTAGCTATGTGACACTGGGCAAATCACAATCTCTCTCAGTCTCAATTTCCTCATTTGTAAAATACATATAATAGCAACGGTACCTATCTCCCAGGGCTGTTGTGAGGATAAAATGAGATAATATTTGTAAAGCACTTTATAAACCTCAAAGTGCAATATTAATACCAGCTAAAGAAAAAACACAAAACAAGATATATTGGCAATAAAACCTCTTATCTTTTCCCGAGGCTTTAAACCAGAAATTTAAATGAAGTAGTATTACCCACTCCATTAAATTTAAATTCATTGTAATTTAGAAATGAAAGAAGTGAAGGAAAGGAAAATTCAGTGGTCTGGTTCTATGCCACTCCATTAATCAGGTGGCAATGTCATCTAATGGAGAGAGTACTGGATTTAGAATCAGAAAACCTAAGCTCAAATGTCTTTTTTCCCCCTCTTTTCTACTTAATACTCACTTTACTTTGGGCAAGTCACTTAATGTTTTTGGGCCTCAGTTGCCTTATATGTAAAATGAGTTTAGATTAGATGATCTCTAAGGCCCTTTCCAGAGACAGTGCACTGGAGTCAGGAAGACCTGAGTTCAAATCTGGCCTCATACATTTACTAGCTGTGTGACTCTGGGCAAATCACTTAACCCCCTATGATTCAGTTTCCTCACCTGTAAAATGACCTGGAGAAGGAAATGGCAAACCACTCTAGTACCTTTGACAAGAAAACCTCAAATGGACTCACAAAAAGTCAATCACAACTGAACAACATACAACACGGTCCCTTCTAATTCTAAATGCTATGATATGAGGAGTTAGGAGAGGGAAAGGAACCATGTTGAACTATGACAGTTTACTGTTCTTTGAATGACGATTCTAGTTGGTAAACCATTGGTAGGACATAGACTTTGAGTTGTTGTTTCCATCAGAAGCAATGAATTTGTGCTGACCCACCTTCACCCTCAAACTCAGTTTAAGAAATGGCTAGTAAGGATTTAGAAAAGCCTGCATAAGAATTAACTCCATTATTATTCATTTAGTTTTGTGCTCTAACTAAATGAACTAAGCACACTGACTCTGGAATTGTTGTTTAGTCGGTCAGCTGTACCTGAGTTTTTGTGACCCCCATAGACCCATAGCACACCAGTATTGTCTACGGGGTTTTCATGGCAAAGATACTGGGGTGATTTGCTATTTCCTACTCTAGTGGATTAGGGTAAACAGAGGTTAAGTGACTTGTCCACAGTCATAAAGCTAGTAACTATCTGAGGCCAGATTTGGACTTAGGTCTTCCTAACTCCAGTCCCAGAGCTCTCTGCATTGAGTCACTTATCTGCCTCCGAGGCAAACAGAAGTTAAGTGACTTAACCAAGGTCATACACCTAGTAAGTGCATGAGGCCAGATTTGGATTCCGGTCTTCCTGACTTCAGGGCTGTGCTCTATGCACTGAGCCTGACTTAGCTGCCTCTGACTGTGGAATATAAGATCATGAATCCCTAGATTAGATCAACAGTTTGTCTAGCCTGCCATCCTCTTTTCAAAAATGACAAAAAAATAAAAAAATAATCTGTTATTTAGTGATGCTCTGCAGTGTAGTAGAAAAAGGGCTGGTCTTATAGTGAGGCAATCTGGGTTTGAATCCTGGTTTTTCCAACAACTAGCTCTGTGATCTTTTGCATGTCACTTAACTCCTGAAGCCTCTGTCCTCTTATCTGTAACATGGAGGTAATGGTCCATTTTTTTCCTTACTTCACAGAGTTGTTATGAAAAAGTGCCTTATAACCCTTCAGGCACCATATGAAGGTGAGCTATTATTCAGAAATATTGATGTCATCTTTTCTTACCTCAGTCTGCACCAAGTAGTTTCTTTGTGAGCGTATGTGTTTCAAGAATCCAAATATGTTGACAGTTCCCTCATGTTGGATTTGTTGCAACATGCTGTCTAACACAATGTATGTGCCTGTTCGTCCGACTCCAGCACTGGAGAAGGGGACACAGAAACAAAGGAATACTTCAGAGAGCAGCATGGAAAATGAATTTGAACATAGGTCACAATTGGGCTGAAACTAGATGAAGCCCATGAATGCTTTTGCTATCCACTACCAAAAAAGATTTAGCAATAGGGACAAGCCTTCCAAATCTAAATGGACTGTTTCATAGATTTCTACTGAAATAGTTGTTTGAATATTTCTGCAGGTTTTTTTTTTTTACAGGAAACCTGATTCTATTTATCATGATAGGTTTTTTTTTAAATATACTTAGAGAAAATAAAAGCTTTAGGCTCAGGCAATACTGCTTTGGTTCCAAGAATAAAAGGCCCATATGTCAATATTACCAGGCAGATATGGTTGTGAAGTTTTGGTATTAATAAAGTGTGGAATTTCATAAGCCTTTCTACTGAAAACGTCATTTCAGTAAGATATCTGGAAATAAAGCCAAACTCCAGTCATTTCTAAAGGACCATTATCTATTGACTCCTTCAGAACCACTGCCAGAGTGACAGATTTATAGGAAAGGCTTCTTTTCAAACGCTCCCAAGAGGATGAAGTGCTTGGATGGAAAATCAGCACCTGTTCATACACAATAGCCTTCTACTTCTCTATTGCTCTGAAACAATCCCTGACCTTCAGAGCTGGTTTTCAGGCATTTTTTCTGAGTTTCTTCAGCCAAGCTATCATCAGACCATCAGATTAAAGAGATCAAGTAGTTCTCTCAAACTTTTTTCCTAAGGCTTTTCTTGAAATCAGAAATCTTAAATAGCTAAGTCATGGTTCAGAAGGAAATCATCACTGCCTTATAAAATACCAGTATCTCCTCATCAAAAATAGCCCAAAGCCTGGGTCTTAGATGTTTGCAGCCATGGAGCAGCAACTGAAAAAGAAGCATGGAGAACCAAAAAGATTTATTTTTTTTTCTTCTTGCTAAGAGAGTATCCTAAGTATTCAGAAGTCCAAGCTGGGAAATAAAGGTTTCCTGGGCAAAAATGAAGTTGGCACACAGAAAGCCTGTAGAAGCAATATGGCCTATCAGGAAAAACTAATGAAAAGGCATAGGAAACTCATAGCTCCAGCTTTGCTTGGGCAGCTCACTCTCCTCTGTGCCTCAGTTTCTTCATGGGTAAAATAGGGGCGACCCCTACACTATAAACTCCTTGAAGGAAGAGATATCTTGTATTTTGTTACCCCTTTAGCTCCCAGCACAGTGGCTTATACACGCTGTCACTTAATAATTTCATTTAAACTATGCAAAAAGAATTTGGTAGGAGTCTAGCAAGATACCGTGGTAGGCACTGGGATATACAGATAATAATAAAATTGTTCCTGCCCTCAAGACACTTTTTATAGGAGGAATACAACAGGAACATAGAGAAGGAAACACAATGTATGCTTTGAGCATATTAAAAAAAATAAACCTGTGTGTGTGTGTGTGTGTGTGTGTGTGTGTAGAACACTAACCCACAGGAGTATCACCTGAGCTAGGCCTTGAAGGGAGATGGAAAGCATTCCAACAGACAGAGGTACAAATGGAAAACATTTCAGGTAAATGGGACAAATGGTACAAAGGCACAGAGAAACAAGAGGTTTAATGTTAAACTAGGGGAACAACAAATAGGCCAGTTTGCCTAGAATGGAGAATGTCTAAAGAGAGTAAAATGAAGTAAGTCTGAAAAAATAGGATGGAGATAGATGGGATGGGTTTTAAATGTTATTCTTTGCCTACCCTCTACCACTCACCAAAAAAAAAAAAGTTTGGAATTTAGCCTAGATAGACCAATAACTAAATAAATAATAAAGCTTCTTGAGCAGGGGACTGACATGGTTCGATTTGCTCTGGATGCATGAATATTATTATACTTACCTTACAAGATTATGAAGATAAACTAATATACAATGAAATAATATACATGAAATTATTAGAAGCATTATAAAATGTAAGGTCTTATCTTCAGACAACAAAAGTCTGGCTCTGGGCAAGCCAATTTCCCAATGGTAGAAGACATAGATACAGATATATCTATCTACAGAGAAATAGCACAATCTAAATATGTATCTATATAGAGATACAGCACAATCTCTCTCTCCCTCTGTATACACACAATATATACATATACATACACCTACACATATACGGAAATTGGCTTGCCCAGCTACATATACATGCCCCTACATATAATACACACACATACATACATGGAAATTGGCTTGCCCAGCTACATATACATACATACACACACACACACACACATATAGGCAAATTTGCTTGCCCAACTTTGCTGAAGCTATTCCTTTCTTATGAAACATAAGCAACTATATAGTTTCAGAATAAGCCTTTTTACTGCTTTTAAAACTTACCTACAGTGGACAGCAACAGGTCCCACTGCATGACGTTTAGCATGTGATGCCTTCCGTACAAATGTGAGCACTGGCAAAGTGTACTCTGGGACCCCCATGTCAGGCCACTGAGTATAGTGATACTGTGTAACCAAACGGCCACTTGGTCTTCCTTTTTGGGAACCCTGAAGGAATAAATAAGGGGAAAAAATGATCGCATGGGCAAAGGTTCGCCGACAAATTCCTTATTTAGACCAGCGACTTCCATCTCTCTTTCCAGAAAACTCACACTATTTCCCTTCATATATTTGTTGAGGAGTTGGTTTCTAACTCCACATCTCCTTGACCAAAAAAAAAAGAAAAACAACAAACCAAACTCTTAATGTAATCACCAGGTGTTAATAAAGCATTAAATTCATTGTAAAAATGTACCCACACTGGATGATTCTTTTATGAGATTTGGATTTTCTTTTGAATTATGCAGGAAACAATATGATTGTCTGAACTAGAAAATTAGCCACGTTCCTGAGTGCTTTAAATAGGTAAACCCTGGAAGAATCTTCAAGGTCAAGAGTGAGAAACAATGCAAACTGGGAGCTGCCCATGGAACAGACAGATGACCTACCTTTGCCAGGTAACTTTGAAGGAGAATGACTTGACTATTAGGAGGCAGTGCATCCATTAGGGAGAAGAAACAATTGAGAAAGACACAGATACAGAGAGGCAGTCACTTAAGAGAGGAAGTAACTTTAAAGAATAGGACCCCTAGTTTTTGGCATCTGAGAATGCCACTGGACTCTTTTATTAAAATGCTGGCATTACCAATAAAATGATTAATTACTCAGAAAAAAAAAGAATAGTACCCTTAACAGCACAGAAGAGAGCTGGGCTATGGTACAGAACAGATCCTTAGATTCTCTCGTAAGAAATCTGCCCGGTAAAGATACTATTGTACCCAAGGGAAGCTTTGAGAACACTCTGTTAAGAGTGAAAGGTCATCCTGCTCCTGCTGTCCTACGGTTGTGAATTGCCTTGGCCACCTGTGTTCCTTCTCCGTGTGCCCCACAACCACTGTACTCTATGCTTGACTCTTCTTCCCAGCCGCTTGTGTTTTTGTGGCAGGGTGTGTCAAGATTTATGCAGGGAAATGCTTTGTAACTATTTTTACTATACCAACTTAGTAAAGGACTTTGCTAAGAGCTAATTTGTGTCTAAGGGCAGACTGTTAACAGTAAGCATATTGGTGGGGACACATAGGCTAAATGTTAGCAGGCTAGAACTTCAGCGTTACCTCTGAAATCAAAGGGAGCAATCCATGAACTAGGGACCCAACAACTGAGTGTGAACATAAGGGGTAGACTACAAGGGATGATACATATTCTATTATCTTTCTAAATTAAGCTATTCAAATGATCCCCTAAACCTGCTCTACTCTCACTGCATTTGCTTATATACCCTCTAGGTATAGAGGTACCTATATATAGGGGTGTATATGTGTGTGGGTGTGTACATACATACACATGTGTGTATACACACACACACACATACATACACACACACACTGAGGTACCTATACCTATGTATAGGTACTTCCCATCATTAGCCCTCATTTCTACCCTTTGAAATTTTTCTCATTCAAGGTACTGCTCAAATGTTACTTCCTCCATGAAGTTTTCCCTGATTCTCCCCAGCAGGATACCATATTTCCCCTCTTCGTATCTGTCACAGTACTATGTGCCTCCTCTGTGTATCTTTCATTCTCTTTTTGTATTATACTACATATATTTGTATATATTTTATCTTCTCTAACTAGAATAATAATAGCTAGCATTTATAAAGCACTTCAGAATTTACAAACATGCTAAACTTGTGTTAACTCATTTGAATCTTATAACAACCCTGTGAGGTAGGTGTTATCATTATCTCCATTTTATAGATGTGGAAACTGAAGTTAAGAAAGGTTATACAATTTACCCAGGGTCACATAGCTAGTAATTGTCTGAGACACCATTTGAACTCAGGTCTTCTTGCCTCTACATCCCACAATCTATCCATTATACCATCTTTAGGACTTACAGGTTCCATGACTTCAGGAATCATTAATTTTTTGCATCCTCTAGTACCTTTTGCAGTACTCTTTGCACAAAGTAGATATATAATGAAGGTGTATTGCATGGATTTCACTAGTGCTTTATGTAAACAGTCAGATTTGGAAAGAGATCAGATTCTCTGAAGTTTCCCCCCTACTCCCCATCACATTCTTTCAAGCTCCATTTTTTTCTGTTAGATGCTGGGGTTCAATGAGGATTCTCTGTTGTGATCACCACTCACCCCATGTGTGTAACTAGTCACAGCCTTGTGATGAACTGGGGATTCCTACTGCATTCCTCCATTTGGAGAATTTTGTTCAGTCAACTCAATGTTAATCCTGCCCTGGTAGCCTTGGGCAGTGAGGATGGGACCAAGACCTCCAAAGCATTCTCTTATATGTGCTATTCACTACTCCGTTTTCTTTCCATATTAATCTAATTTTACACCCATTCATATTTTAAAAAATCAAACCCAATAATAAACAAAGAGTTATTCATACCCAGAGCTTAAACCTCATAAAGTGTTATATCTATAAGAAAACAAATATCTGGTCCAAAGAACAAGGGGCAGCACTATTTGATATTTTTCCTACTCATTTCATGTGTGTGTATATGTGTGTGTGTATACGTGTGTGTTGTGCGCGCACGTGTACTTTGCTACAATTACAACAGAAGCTTTGGAACGGTTTCCAATAGTTTTGTAGCCCCCATGGTACCTAGCACAGTGTTGAGTAGTGATCAATAAGTAACTGAATTAAATGGCTTGATTCTTTTCCACTAATCTCCAAATAGGTTTTATAAAGTCCAGGAAGGAGAAAAGCCCCAGAGAAAGGATTCGTAGTCTTTGTTTTAATCACAGACCCTTTGGCAGCCTGGTGAAGCCAATGGACTCCTCCTTGGAACAGTGCTTTTTAATGCGTAACATAAAATACATAGGATTACAAAGGAAACCAACTCTACTGAAATACAGTTATCAAAATATTTTTTTAAAAAATGTTCACAGGGGCAGCTAGGTGGCGCAGTGAATAGAGCACTGGCCCTGGAGTCAGGAGGACCTGAGTTCAAATCCCGTCTCAGACCAGACACTTGATACTAGCTGTGTGACCCTGGGCGACTTTAGTCACTTAACCCCATTGCCTAGAAAAACAAACAAAAACAAACAAACAAACAAAAAAATGTTCACAGACCTCAGGTGAAGGACTCCTGCCCTATGGTTTTTTGTGTTTCCTCTGGCAGAAGCAATATTTTGATAATGAGCAAGAAATAGCAAATAATATTCACCATAATATCCACTGGATTAAAAATTATGTGACCTCTGATCTGCAACTAAAGGTTCACTTTTGATTTCTCAAGGAGAAAAATCTTTATTAATAATTGAAAGCTATACACTACTCCAAATATTTATTGAACCACATGCATTTAGCCTAAAATTTTCCATAGTTGATTTCTATATTCAATTAAAAATCATTTAAATCATTAGGCAGCACAGAAAATATTTTGTTACATGTTATGATCAGGGTGCTCTGGAAGGTGAAGTATTCTGGTAAACGGATGCTTAATAATATAGATTATGTATGGTTTGCTTTTATCAGAGCATTAGAAAACAATAAAATATGCTAAATACTCAAATTACATGAAAATGAATTGCATCCTTATTTGACGATTGAGAAGATAGTTAAGGATTACGGAAGTACTTTAGGTCATAAAAGAATCAAAGCATTCTGCCTGACTGAATAATCAACTTGTACTGTACTAACCTTTTTTATCTTAGTGTTTCTAAGAGTAAAGTTCCGCACAGTATAATAGGCAAGTACACGAACACTCTTCTGTGTGACCAAAAAGTTTCCATACTCTTCACTACCATCAACAGGCCAGTACTGATCACATTTCCTCTGTAACAAATGAGATAGAGTTAGAATTTTGGTATTTGGAATGCTCAATTTTAAAGTCAGTAAGAACTACGGGAAGTGAGGAGAAAGGCACGTACTCACTCTTCTAAATCTTCTCATTCCTTAGGAACGTGCTAAGGACCTGGGATTTTGTGAGCTTAAGAAACTCCCTATGTGAGAATTTCTCCACCAATACAGACAGGCACAAAACTATCATTTAATATACATTAAGTCAAGGTTGTTTCCTCAGAGTCACACAACTAGTTGGTGTCAGAGCTAGCATTTCAATCAGGTCCTCCTGAGTCTAACCCCAGCATTTCATACCGCTCATTTCCCCATGAAGCCCACACTGAAATCAATCATAGAAGAAAATTATAAAGCGCTGATATCACGGAAGGAGTGCTGGGTGGAGAGTCAGAGGACCTGAATTTAGGTTTGAATTCTGCCTTACTACCAGGGTGCCAGAGCACTCAGACAACTTCCAACGGCCCTTCCAGTTCTACATCTATGGTCCTGTGATTGTGAGGAAACTTGAGGCCGAGAGAGATTAAATAATCTGCCTAAGGTTGTATAATTAGTTAATGGTGTAGTTAGGATTAGAACCCAGGTCTAATGACTACCACTTCAATATTCTTTCCATTTTACCATATTGCCTCTCAATCAATTTTATTTTTTCTAAGTGTAACACAAATATATGGGAAAATAATCAAATGAACTAGATTTCTAATAACAGCTTTTTGTTCTGTGTTCTCATTATTTTCCCTTTAGTTATTGTATTTGAAAAAAAAAAGGAATGTGGATTCATTTCCATAATTTTTGCTGCTTCCTAACTATGATTCCATTTCATCTCACACAAGTGAAAAGTTTGTTTTCAAATATCATAATAGGTGATCTACATACTCGTCCTTTTTCAACTAGGTTGGTTATCATTACGATCACTTCCACATTATGTTCCCAAATCATTCTCCAGAAATCTTCTGCCGTTGATTTTAATGGGCCCTGAGCTGCAATATAAGCTTTGGGTCTGTTGTAGCCCTAAAAAGAACAAATGACCAATATTACTACTTATTTCTCATTTTAGTTTCCTGCTATAAAATACTTCACTGGTGATTTTTTTTCTTTAAAGAGTCACATACCATTTCTGTAAAGACAAGGATGGAAATACATTTGTAAAACCTGAAAGTTCTCTAGGTTCTGTTTCTAATTGTGTTTTATCTATGAATGCTATGCACACAACAATGAAATTCTAGGAGCTTTTACAGAGTTTTACTTGTTTTCATCTTACAGCCAATAGGAAGCATAGGCCTATTTGGTGAGATTGGACTCATTTTTCCAGGCTTTTGTGAACTTAATTCTAACACTGTTTAAGTGTCTTGGGCATCTGAAACAGTTTGGCATCTCCTTTACCCCCCAATCTCAGTGTCTTCCTTTCTTACCTGACTGTATTAATGGAAGCTGAACTGAGAGTTTTGCAGGTGGTGGGGTATTAAAATAGCTGAGAGCTCCTTAACTGCTATCAACTACCATCTTGAAAATATAGCAAGTCCCCATAAATCAAGCCCACCTCCCATACTGGGGGCATATCCTCAGGAATGCCCAAAGATAAAAATGATTGATAACTGGCTCAGAATAGTTATTTTTTGATTTCGTTCAGAATACCATAGCAACAAGCATTTAATGAGGACCTACTATGGAAAATATTGTGTGTGTTACAAGAGAGTTGTATGAGATAGTCTCAGTATTCTAGGAGGAAAGAGAGAATTAATGTGCTTAGCAAGTGTGAAACTTACAAGAGGGCATGAGTCTCACCTTGCATTAAAAAAATTGTCAATTTGTCTTAAAACTATGTGAAATGCTTTATCATTTATATCATTGAATATAATATTTTGGTAAGAGCCCACATATGCAGAGCCAGTACTATATTTAGTAAGCTAATTAGATCTTACTTCCACCCTTTAATTCTAGGCAATCCAACAAACACTTATTAAAAAAGGACTGAGAAAGATTCGAACTGGGAATTAGAAACAGTCCCTGCTTTCATGGAGTTTATCACCAACTAAGTTTTAAGAATTTTTTTTTATGAAGTAGTTAGGGAAAAAGTATGCTTACATCTACATAATTGGCATTGATGTAATCAGTCAGTCTGCCATCTTTTTCTGCAAGCTGTGAGAGTTTAACCCTGCTATGATCATCTGCAACAAAGAAAAGTCAAAGTAAACTTTGCATTAAAACAGGCTGGAGCTCTTTGGGGAGGAGACAGTGAGGTGGTGTAGTGGAGACAGCATCCTGGATTCAGGAGGACATGAGTTCAAATCCTGCCTCAGACACTTACTAGCCATGTGGCCCTGAGCTAGTCACTTAGCCCTGTTGGCCTGAGGTCCTAATCTGAAAAATAAGTGGGAGAAGAAAATGGCAAACCATTCCAGAATCTTTACCGAGAAAACCCCTAACGGAGTCACCAAGAGTTGGACAGAGCTGAAAAACAACTGAACTGAGGTTAGTACAGGAAATGGACATTTGTCTGCTGCATTTTTGCAAATGAATTTTCAGACCTATCTCCTTTGCATGTGTAAAATTCCCCTGGATGTGTAATTCAATTCAATAAACATTAACCAGGCCCCTACAATGTGGGACCATGGATACTGACAACAGTGAAAACAGTTCTTGTCCACAAGGAGCTTGCATCATACCCAGGCATATGTAAGAGCCACTGAAGCCTGTTGGGTAGAGAAGTGACACACACATTGAGACTTGTGCTTTAGAAATATCTCAACATGGAAGCTGTGTGGAGGATGAAATGGAGAAGGAAGAAAGGGAAAAATAATTAAAAGCCTATTATTTCAGTAATCTAGGCAAGAGGATGTAAGGTGACTGAGCAAGTGGTAAGAAGGGTTGGTCAGGTGAGATACTGAGCCACAGGATTAACAAGACCTGGTAATTAATTGTATATGAGAGTTTAAAACCAGTTTCGTGAAAAAACTGGGAATGTCAGTTTCCTGACTTTGAGTAATTCCATTTTTAAGCAGAAGTATGCCAGAATCAATGCTCTGTCCTTTTCTCTTCCTCCTTCCCCATACCAAAAAGCTGTCATTTCATGATTTTTATTTCTCTGCCCCCATTCTGTAAAAAGAGCTGGAGAAGGAAATGGCAAACCACTCCAGTATCTTACCAAGAAAACCCCAAATAAAGTCACAAAGAACCAGACACGGCTGAAACAAAACAACAGCAATTTCAGTGTCCCGAGATGCCTGGACGGGCCAGGCAAAACAAGTTATAGTGGATTCAGAGAAGAGTAACTACAATGATGAGAGGATCCTAGAAAACCATGTCATGGTGAAGGACTCGGGAAATTTAGTGGAAAGGACAGAAAATGTAGGGGTAACTTACAGCTGTGTTCACATATCTGAAGGTCTGCCTGGCACATGGAACAGGTCATGCATGGCCTGTCTATGTGTTGTACTTGAGGAGAGAATAAGTACCAGTGGGTGAAGTGAGGGGGTAAACTGGTCCAATTCATTTTAAGAGAGAACTTCATAACCAGTAGAGCTGGCTAACAGTGCCATGGGCTGGCTCACGTAGCAATCTATCTTTGCATGTTTTTGGATGGTCATCTGTCTCACCTATTTTAGAGAGGCGTCATCTGTCTCACCTGTTATAAAAGGGCTTCCTGCCTTGGGTGTGTGAAGAAGATAAAAGGAAGAGAGGAGAGGTGAGAGACACAGGTTATCTGAAAGATCCCTTCAGGTGATGTACTGCTGAAAGAAAATATATATTTACTGAGGGTGAAAGGAGGTACACGGAAAGATTATGGAGTAGGAATCTTGGTTAATTCAACTATAATCATTCCAAAGGACACAAGATTATTCAATTTTCTAGACATCTGGACTTTGACATGAACCTTGGATGAGCAAAGAAATGACTGATTTTGGAGAAAGTATCAGGTTCCTTTGTGACAATTTCATTGAGCAAGTCAAGACTGCTCACTTTAGGGGGGGTTGGGACAGTGAATACAGACAAGGCTGTAACTTTGTTAGCAGCGGTAAATGTATTGTGATGTATGAAAAGAACAGGCTGTTTCAGGACAGGGAGATGTGAGTGTGAAGAGAAGCCTATGGTTAACTTAATAGTAGACATGTTTTACTTAACGAAAGATCAGGGTCTATAGTGGGTAGAGAGGATAGGCATAGGAACTGTGATTTCACTGGTGTAGGGAAACTCTATCAGCCAGTGCAGGTTGGTGCCTTTTTTGCAATTTATAGTCTTAGAAAGGCACCTACAGAAAATCTGGGACTCAAAATTAAGAAAAAAACTGAAGTTAAAATTGTCTTTACATGTAACTGGGAAAAATATTATTAAAAAAAAGAAAATTACCTAGAATACTGAGATGTCAGGTGACTTATCTGGAGTCCCAGGCCAGTATGTGTCAGTGGCAGAAGTTAGTTCTTGCTAGCTTCCCGGCTATTATATCCTACACCACATTGTGATTCCATAGTTGGAATATGGACCAGCCATGTCTTATGGATGTGGACCAAGAAATCTTGAGTGTAACATGTAATCATAACTTGCGTTTCAGGTGTAGAGAGAATAGAATACAAGAGAGCCATCTGTAAAAACGGGGTTCAATTGTAATCTCTGTAGTAAGGAAAGGATCTATCTACACAAACAGTCTTGGAGAGTATGACAAGAAAGGAAATCAAGTATTGGTGCCAGCTTCAAGGCTCTAGAACGAAGAAGAAATTGGAACTGAGATGATAACACTTGCCCCAATGTAGATTAAGGAAACCATTGTGGGGTTGATGAGAAAGGAATGGTGATAATCTTTAGAAAGAGATGAAAGAAGAAAAAATAGAAGGATTTCAGGTGGTGGGAGGAGAAAAGGAGGGAACCCTGAAAAGAGAAGGATGAATCAGAGGTAGAACAGGGTCATGACCACTGACACTATGCAAAGCAAAGAGCCACAGGCATACTCCAGAGGAAATCATCTCTTCTGAAACCAGAGAGGGAAAGCAATGAGAGGGAAGCAATAAAGGGCAAAAAAAGGCCAAGAGAATGAGGACAAAAAGACTATTATGAAATGAGAATTGGCTCTATAGAAAGGGAGAGAGATAACATAGGACTCGAGAAACACAGGAAGGGGAAATAATGAAAATGAAAATTTACTATTAGTCAACTGAGGTTTAAATAGTTGGGTGTTTGTGGAAGCTTTGGCTTCATTGTATGACAGGGAAGGATTGTAAATACTTTTTAAAAATAAAGAAAAACTGTGAGAATTCAATAGGAATATGTGCAAAATCACTAAAATAGACAGAACCACCATATACATATAAGATAAATTGGGCATATCATATTTGTTCTTTGGGAATGTTCATTATATTAGCTATAATTCTAGCAAAAAGAAATAAAAGAGTGGTACTACTGACAGTTTATTTTTTATGGGATGAAGTCACTCTTTTTTAATTTTTCTTAAAGAAGCTGATAAAGACTGAACTCAGATAACTATAATAATTATATTCAGAATTATTTTATGTTCTGTATTATATTCAAAATCTGTGATATTCTTTACAATTTTTTTCAGTTCCAGATTCTCTTCCTCCCCCCCCAGTCTTCCACCCATTTAGAAGGCAAGCAATACAAAACCCATTACAAATATGAAGTCATACAAAACAGATTTCTGCATTCACCATGTTCTGTTAAAAGGGGGAGAAAAAGAAAAAGAAAAATGTTTCAATCTGCACTCAGAGTATGTCAGTTCTTTATCTGGAGGTAGAGAGCATTTTTCATCATGAGTCCTTTAGAACTGTGGTGGTTCATTGTGTTGATAAGAGTTTCCAAGTCTTTCACAATTAATGATCTTTACCATTTTCCTGTTACTGTTCTCCTGGTTTCATTACTTTGCTTTGCATCAGTTCATATAGAATCTTGTGATACTCTGGTTAAATTAGAGACCTTGGGTTTTAGACAAAAGATCTGCTGTGTTAAGTAGCATGAATCAATTTAGACATGCCTTTTAATGACCTGCTTCACTAATATATGAAATTATGTGTACCACAGGTCAAGTTACACCTCAAATAAATGAAAGATTTCTGAGCACAGGAACTCTTTCTAATTGCCCCAATCAACAGTTCATCCGTAACTCAATACATCCATTCTAAGAACAAGCCATCTATAACTCTGCAGGTAAGCATGAGGGAATTGCCTGAGGCACATGTAAGTTAAGTGACTACAGTTAGTAAGGGTGAGAGGCAGGATCTGCACCCTCCTAATTCTAAACCTAGCTCTCTATCCACTACACCACACTGCCCCTTCCTGAAATGCAGCAAGAGTAAAAGTTGCATTATATATTACATGTATTATATATACTAATATATTATACATATCACATTATATATTATAGTTAACTGTCAGGTGTTAAATCAGCATTTAAAGTTTTAGAGAATCCATACAAATTGGTCAGGTACACATATACTCACAAGCAACAATGTTTATGTATCGATTCTTATTCTTATTGTCTGGGTGGTTAGAGCTGTCTGATGTGATACCTAGGTCAACAGTACAGCTCTGCACTTCCTGAAAAGAAAATGTACAGACGCAGTTTCAATACATGTTCAGTAAAACAGGGTTCCTTAAAATGTAATATGGAAGCCAAAATCTTCTAACAATTTTTTCTATATCTTACAACTACTTCTTTGCTTTAAAAAAACAGAACAAAAAAAAACAAAACATGCAGTGAAACAATGCCTTACCTGGTAAAACTCTTTCAGTGTCTAATGAGGGAATGAATGCAAAAAGAGTAAAGAAATCAAATTCCACAGCACACGACAAATGAGGAAAAAAAAGTGTTCATATTAGGTTTACAATGGAAAAACAACTATGATCATGCAATAAATACATTTGTCTAATAGTAACAAAGTTGAATGCTTCAAACAACTGCATGCAAATAAAAATACTACGCAATTTAGATTTTAAAGTAACATTTTTAAAAGGAAGAGGTAGGACAAATGATGAATTTTGAAAATGCAGGTGAGAAAAATTACATATTCCATGACCCTTCCTTTAGTAATATTATTTTTGTAAGTAATTTATAACTAATTTAACTACAGAGTATCATTTCAAACTTTTATCTAACCATATTTAATTTCTTTACATTGTATTTAAATGGGGAAACATTTCTATAATGTGTTTTTCATTAGGAAATGATTTAGTTCCTTCAAAATACTGAAAACCTGTTAAAAACCCTCAGTATATCATAGATCCTGCATCATTTTGATGCAATTCCCCCTCCAAGTCTATTGCTGGTTACTACTTATTGAATTGGAGAAAGCCTATTTAACCTTCAAGCCTATTTGTCTTTGAGTATCTAAAGGGCTGTTATGTGGAAGAGGTATTAATTAGACTTGCTGCTTCTGGACCCAAGGTGTAGAATGAGGAGCTACAGATAGAAACTGAAATGAAGTCTTGACGTAGGGAAAAAACTGAAACAATAAAGCTATGAAGAAGTGGAAAGGTCTCTTTCTTTTGGGAGGCAGTGAGTTCCCCATCAGCGGAAATCTTCAAGCTAAGACTGGAGGAACACTCGTCACATATGATATCAAGGAGATCCTTGTTTAGCCATGGATTGAACTAAATGACCTGTGAGGTCCCTCCCACCTCTGAAATGCTGTGATTTGTGGGGTGATAGCAAACATTTACATAGCACTTAGAATGTGCCAGGCACTGTGCTAAGCATAGGGTACAGCTATATTGTCTATGTCTCCATACACACATATCTACGAATACATGAATGTGCACATGTGTATATAGGTATACAGACACATGTATATGTATACAGACATGTATATATTCTTTCCTAGTCTTTTTCATACAAATCAGAACATGTATTTTTTCAAAGATGATCTAAGTATAAATTCTGGTCATCACTTTGCATTATAGTGTTCATTTATAACTGAAATTATTGTATTTCTTAAAAAAAAGCAGTAAGGCCCAAATGTAGGATTTGCTTCATTTTTAAAGGACTTTATCCATCAGAAAATAAACAGACTTGCCCAGGTGTGGATAAAAATCCTTATTTGGGGCTTAAAAACAATGAAGTTAGACAAAACAATTAAATAACCATAGTTATGAATAAGTATTATTGAATTAATAAACGTTTTTTTAATTAGTGCTAAAAACAATGAAATACATTTTAAAAAACTGAGCTGAAAGTGAAGTTACTTTATTAATTCAATTCTTTTTAAATGAATAGATTAAAAATGCCTCTGTTGCTGCAGAAGCCTTGAATCACATTTACCTACCCCTGGGGCAAATCTTGTCTGATAATTTTCATTTGTAAACCGGGTACTTTCTACATGTGGATCATAACACATGAATGATTAGACATATTATTAATATAAATTTGGGGGTCTTCTTCCCATCACTTAGTACAATCTTGGGCTTTTCTGTTTTTCCACTAAACTTGCCTATTAGCAGGACAACATTGAGAATACTGCAATGTTGATTTAATTTAAGAAAAGGGTTTATATAGGCCTAGCTTACAAAGTAGTCTACCATGGGAGTATTTGGTTGATAATTTGAAATTTTAAATATTATGAGTGCAATGACATAAACTATTCTCTTTTATCTAAGGGCTTTCCCACACTCCAATCTTCTCAGATACTCTCAGCTGTAAAATTACAATTTGAAATTTGTGGTCAGGGTTAAGTGGACTCCTTGTTTTTCATTCAATGAATGAGGAAAAGCACACACAACTATTTGCATTTGAAGTGATTCTTTAAGATTTCTAGTCCATGATGCTTCTCCCTAAATAGCCACACTCTTCAATCAAAATCCAAGTTAAAATTCACACTCAATGTGGATGGCTGGAGGAATTCTGTTGGTGATCATTACCTGGGCACTGGTCTTGAGATGGTGTGGATATTGCTCAGGAATAGTAGAGATCAGAGTTTAGACCAAAAATTTAGTATTAAATTGACCACTTGTAGTGGTTCAATGAATAAGAGACCTTTGTAGTATTCTACTGATAATCAAGCTGGAATAAGTGCTAAATTTCGAGTCAGAAGAGATCTGGCCTCAGATTTACTAGCAAATATGACCATGGGTTTTCTTCTCTGTAAAATGGTACTAATAATACTCATATTGTTGTGAGGATCCAATGAGAGAAGGAATGTATGTTCACTTCGAAAACCTTGAAGTGCTACATAAATGCCAGCTATCATTATTTTTACATAATTACATGAACAAAATAAACTTAGGATAATCTCTACTGGTTATAATGTTCAATTTTGAAATATGTTTTTTTCCTTGGAGATGATCCATGATTTTATCTCATAAGAGAGGACTGATCCAGAGTCAAAATGGTGAAATTAGTGTAAGGAAATGTAAATGGGGTAAAACCCTGATATTTACTGACTTTTAATAATTTCATTATCTTGCAAAATTAAAAAGAAAAAAATTTAACAAGAACTTACTGACAGAATTCATAAAAACCAGAGAACACCACAGATCCTGATTTTATGGAAGAGGACAATCTATTTGTTAAAATTTCTAGTAATTACATAACAACAATTCCCCCCCTCTAGGGTTTGCTTTTGAAATTAGCTTTCATTGGCTCAAACAAACAAACAAAACCCACCAAAAACCAAACCAAACCAAATTACAAAAAATCAGAATTGGGGAAAAATCAGAAACCAAAATCCTCCCAACTTTTTGGACACTCTATGTTAACGTAAGTAGCACATACCTTGGATGTCTTAATAAATTTTAAATGTATTAGCTTCCCTAGAATCAAAATGCTTCTGAGGTCTCTATAGCAAGAAGCAGTTAAATGCGGATTCTTTTATAGTTCTTATTCCTTGTATGACATTTTAAGAAGACATGCACAGAAAACATACCTCAAATTCTTCAGTAAACCCATTACTTGCATGTAAGTCTGCAACATGCTTTGGAAAGTGTTTTATAGGAATTGCTCCAACATCATCTATAAGGATGAAGGATACAAAAATGAATAACTGAGGAAGGACAACAAACAGTAAATATTTAGATGCATACCTATATAATTATAGTATAAAGTATCTTCATTCATTGTCAGTAACATTATTCTTTCCCCTAAAGTAATTTCTTGATTTTCATTTTACGGTGATTGTCATTTTAAGATAATTCTAATGTCTAATGAAACACTAGGCCAAAAGCAAGACTGTTTTCTACCATATTTGCTACAAATATGATTCCAGAATTTCAGAAATCTGATGGGCATAGTAATTTCTCTCCCAGTAACATGTTCTAAAGAGAGAAACAGTCCACACTTATAGTCCAAGTTATAAATATCAACAAAAGTTACATTTTAATCTTTACTGCAGAAGGATATTTTCACAGCAGTTTTCCTATCATTCTAGTGGGAAATCTTTGCATAATTCCAAAAAGATTTTATTTGGAAATAAAATTTTAACCTGTGTTTTTAATCACACAACAGAATGGCCACGATTTAAAGAACAATACTACTTTCACAGAATTGCAGAATTTAATGTCTGGTAGCCAAATATTCTGATTGCTGTTTATATTTGAGAACATTTCTTTCCTTCTCTACATAAATACTGGAAAACATTTGTGTGCAGAATATTCATTAAGGAAAATGTCAAAAACCTTTGGGACTTTTAATCTGTAAAATTCCGAGAATTCCAAGTTGAAAATATGCCATGTAAACAAAGTCATTTGATCTGTTAATTAATTGTGAAGGGGCCAAATTATTTTAACTAGCTCTGTGTGTTTTTTCCCCCTTCTGGAGTACCTTTCTTAGATTAAACATATTACAATTTCACAGTATGCGATTTCACAAGTGATGTCTCCGACAAGGAAACATCAAACACATTTCACCAGAAACAGTTATTTACATCAACAGATGTTCAGCGTTTAGGCCATCTAATATTTTTAAGCTTCAGTTACCAAGAATTTGCTGATTTCTTTTAATCAGGATCCATCTGTTCTCCCTCTTAGATGAGTGGACATGAATACTAAAATTGAATTACCAAGTCAAGCTTAAGAAAAACTACACAAATGTGTAATTCCACTTTCACACCTTACAGAAAGATTCTGCCAAGAAATATGTTTTATAATTAAACAGGAAAACAGTAATAACCAGTCACACCTAAATCATAAGTCATTTTAGTAAAGATCCCTGAAGAAATAAAGGCTTTTAGAATCACATCTTCCATTCTCTTGTAAACAGACCATCTCACTCATATATTACATTCACTTTATTTTGTTGGTTGGCCTGATTTCTAGATGGATGGAAAGGATGAAGGACCTTTTCCTTTTTTTAACTTCATTTTTTAGGTAATAGCTCGATCACTGAAAGAACACTCATTTCCTTTTGAATGTCAGTGGACTCAGTGATAAGCTAAACGTGGATTCAAATAATTCTGAAGGTCCTTAAGTCATAGAGGTTTTAAAATTTAATTCAATTCAATGCAACAAATATTTCCTATTAGGTACAAAACAAATTTTGACACAAAACTGATGATTCTATTAAAAGATCTAACAAATTTACCACAAAAAAAGTTGTTTGGTTCAATGCAAAGAATACTGGATTTGGATCAGTGGACTGGAATGTTGGACTTGTCACTTATAGCCCATGTGATCAAAGGCAAATCAGTTAACCTCAGTGGGCTGTAAAATGAGGAGGTTGGGCTTAAACAACCTCTAAGTTTCCTTCAAACTCTAAATGTATGATCTTACATTATTATCCTATAACTCCCATCTTGAGGTAGGAAGTATGGTATGGTGGAAAGTCTCATGGATTTATTATCAGAGGATATAGTTTGAAAGCCTGCCTCTATTTCTTAGAACTTGGACATTCAATTTTACCTTCCTGGGCCTCAGTTTCCCTATCTGTAAAAGAAAGCAATTAGACTGGATGGCCTTTAACATCCTTTTCATGTCTAATGGTAATGTTCTCTTAAACAAAAGTTTCTTCACGTGGGTTCCCTGAACTTTTAATACTTTAGTAACTGTGTTTCAATACAATTTGTTCTCTTTGTAATCCTATTTATTTTATTTTGTGCATTTTAAAGCATTATTAGAGAAGGGGTCTGTAGGCTTCACCAGACTGCCAAAGGGGTCTAGTGAGACAACAAAAGATTTTAAGAACTTCCATGTTAAACTGTCTCCCTATAAACATATGCAACTACATACATATCTATGAAAGTATATATTATAACTAAACTTAAACATACTCATTGGAAAGAGCAATTATATTTATAAATATTTATTTATATATAAATTGATACAGTGATTATTCATGATAATCTTAAAACCATCAGGGTTCACAAGTAAATGAAAATGTGTTCTAATTTTCACAATTATATGTGTGAATTTGGCAAATCTTCACATTTCACAGAAGAAGGAAGGAGCAAGAACCAACATTTATTCAGTATCCACCACTTGCTAGAACTCTGCTAAGCACTTTATAAATATTATTTCATTTCATTCTTATAACAAACCCAGGAGGCAGGTGCCATTATTATTTCCATTTTAGATTTAAGCAAACTGAGGCAGATGGAGGTTAAGTGATTTGTCCAGGGTCACACAGCTAGTGGTGTCTCAAGCTAGATTTGATCTCAGATCTTCCTGACTCCAGGTCCAGATTTCCATCTACAGCACCGCCTAACTGCTGAGGAGTCCAGTCAACGCATTTATGTGGTCCAAGGGAACGAAATGATTGTACTTTATAACAGAATCCTGATTCGTAAATTTGCTAACTACTCTTTCATGCTGTAGACATTAGACAATATGGACATTATCGAGAGCCAATGTTGTATGGTAGAAAGATGTCTTGGTGTCAGAAGTCATGGGGGTTGAGCCCACATTCTGTTTCTAGTTCTATCATTTAATCTCTCTAAGATTTGCTTCCTCAAGCTTAAGATAGGGGTTATTTTGGCACTTTCTAAATAATAAATGGGAATAACAATGTGAATTATTATTATTATTACTCTGTGTTCAGTTTTGAGTCATAATATCTATCTATACAGGTTGGTGTAGGTTTATAATACATATATGTGCATATGTGTACACACACACACACATACACACACAAAACACTGTGGGGGCCAGGGACCCCAATTAGAGTCCTGTCTCTCTCACTAGCTAAGTTCAAAGACCTTGGGCAACCCAATTAACCTTTTCTGGCCTCAGCATCCTCCTATGTAAAATAAGGTACTTGGAATGATATTAAAGATCTTTCCTCTAGTTCTAATACCGTGATTGTATGATTAATATGCAATTTATCAGCATAGCAAAGAAAAGTTGCTTTCACAGTGCCATATTGTTTTGCCTCTAGTAGAAATAAACAATAGCTATGCTTTTCCCAGAAGCAGAGTAGAAGGACAGACAAGAATTTCAGGCCTAGAGTCAGGAAGACCCCACTTCAAATTTGACCTCAGACATTTACCAGCTGTGTGATCCTGGGCAAGTCAATTAACCTCTATTTGCCTCAGTTTCCTCATCTGTAAAATGCGGATAATGATAAACCTACCTCTCCCAGGGTTGTTGTGAGGATTAGATAAGATAATTAATAGTAAAGTGCTTAGTATAGTTCCTGGCATATTGTAGGTAACATATAAATGTTAGCTATTATTATTAAGAGGTGGTTTCAGAATCACAAACAGCTGAGTTTGAATTCTGTTATCCCTGGCAAATTATTTAACCTCTTGGTATTCCCCAGGCAGGTTTTTTTTTTTCTTTTGGGCGAGGCAGTCAGGGTTAAGTGACTTGCCTAGGGTCACACAGCTAGTAAGTGTCAAGTGTCTGGGGCCCTCCTGACTCCAGGGCCGGTGTTCTATCCACTGCACTACCTAGCTGCCCCCCACCCCCACCCCCAGGCAGCTCTTTGACACAATTAAGTTGTAGGGCAGGTGACAATCTGCATTAGTGGAGTTTGTAATGGAAGTCTAGTCCGAAAAAAAAAAAAACAAAACCTTAAAAATATTTTGCACATGCTATGTTGATATTTCAAATATCTGTGACTTCATCAGATTGGGCACTTTCTCTGCACATGAAGACTGTGATCTCTCTATCACTTAGTAAAATGTCTTTGTGAGCTGCTTTCACTAAAAGAAAGAATAATGTGGTGACCAATTTTCTGGTAAAGAGCAAGACTTTCTGTAATTAACCAGGGTGGCTCTTGGTAAGACACCCTCTTTTGTAGGGTCTGTAATTCAAAGCCTTCCCAGCTTGGTAGGCCTTGGTATATCTTGTGCTTCTCTTGCACTTATATTTCAAAAACCCAATAGAACCTACATGGTGCCATGATTAGGCATCAGAGTAAGGCTTTACTGGGGATTTCCTATAGCCATTCTGGTCACTGGGAAGATTTAGTTTTATGTTAGAATCTCAGTGACAATCTCAACTCTTTCTGTTTCTGTCAGAATAGGACTCATAATCTATTCATTGAACTTTTCAAATATTTCTCCTGAGCTAAAATGACTTTCTTATATGTTGATATGATTAACTGCTATATATCAATTTAATTTAGCACTCAGATAGCATTACCAACATTAGTACCATTATTAGAGAAATTTCCTGGTACAGGTCTACAGGAAATTGGATAATATCAGATCTCCAGTTTAATTACACAGAAGCTCCTATTAGAAATAAGAAAAAACCAAAACAGTAGAAAGTAGAACAATTTAAGTTTATACCAGACCATATGTCCAAAATAGTCTGAAGTTTTTTTTCCAATTTTCCATTGTCCCAAATGTAAGAAAATTTTATAGTGTTTTTAAGCTACTTAAATCAAATGTTTTGAGCTTAAAGACCATTACACTATCTACAGGAATGTTCCCTTTGATTAATTTCTCAGAGATGAGGATGGTGATTAATGTTGTTGTTCCTCCCCAACTCTCATTTTTTTGTCTTATCTCCTCGTATAGGTAGGATGTGCTGCAGAAAACGTACACGTGTGGGTGAACAACACCTGGAGAGTACTGAAACAGACACATAATGGAGCAAAGGAACCCAAAATCAATTATATTCTCATGAAAATTCGTGTGGCACTAGATGTCTCCGAATGCTTCCTCATTTTGAGCTCAATCAAGGGTAGTCAAGTTCAATCAAGTATGAATAATGTCAGGTACAACTCTATTCTGATACTATTTTTAATTTCCATATAAGCCCTAAGACATCTCTTCTAGGACAAGTAAAGAACACAATCTTTTCAAAGGCTGGGCCATCTACATCTCCCTATCCTTCCTCTTCAGAGGGGATTGCTAGTGACTTCAATGGAACTTCTCAGAGAATGTCCTGAGAACCTGGGTCATCTTTATTATATGACTTGAAAATTAGTCCGTATTCTTTAAGCCTATGTGAATTAAACAGGAGAAGGAGATGTGCTGTCAGGGTAGGGACACGGTCCAAAGATCTTTTAAAAATACCATGTATGGTCACAGGTAGACAAATGAGGCCTGGCTGAAGTTTAATTCTTAACATCTTTACACGTGACTGCTTTAGAAAAATGTGTGTTAGGTACTTCAATGAGCCAACAAAAAAGCAGGGCTAAAAAGTGCTAAGAGAGAAAGAGTTAACAAAGAACTGGGCAGTGTCATTTGTTACCCTTGCTGGGTAGCAAAAAAAAAAATAGAAAAATTAGAAAATTAGAAAAAGAATGGTGCTTTCTATCACTCCTATTCCTTAGGCACTGAGATTTTGCATAACAACATGGCAATGTTCTGGGACAAACTGATTTCCACACCAAACCAAGAAGTTTCAATAAAGTCAACACTTACAAAAATAATGTACTTTCCCCCCCCTCAGTTTTCAAAGACCATCCGTAAGCCTTTCCATATTCCCCTCCCCCTCACTCTTTTCCAAGGATTTTTTTTGGGGGGAAGAGGGGCTAGACAACGATTTTGATTACCCTTCTTGCTGGGCTGCTTACAGAAACCTTACTTATTATATAAGTGCCTATGAAATCGAAAACTAAGTTAAGGTATTTTAGCTACTGACTCTATAGGGCCTTATCTGGATTTTAAAAGTTTCTATAAAAGTTAAGTTCTAAATATTAACAAGCAATATACTCCCCATTTCTGAACTTGTCTTCAAACTGTTGAGATATTTTCATGATGGTCTATTCTTAAATGTACTTATTAAGAAGTCACTCCCAGAAAAAACACAGGTGACCAGAAAAGAAAATGACCTTTATTGTTCTGATAATCACCTCCTATCTATAACAACTACTGTTGGTTTAACATGACTAGTTCTTTTCATTGTTTAGTTTCCTATTAGATTGCTGTAGTAATTTTTAAAAATTAGGCAGGTAATATAAATATAGGTTGATGACAGTCACCATGCAATTGCTGGCTATATTTTATGGCTAAAAAAATAATATAAATCTGGAAGTGTTGACCCTTTTGGGGAGCACACATGTTCACAATGTAAGGAAAGATCACAGTAAGACACAACAACCACAAAGCATTTGATACTGTACTTTTCCTTCGGCATCTAATAATTATTCACACAAAAATTCAAAAGCATTACCTGAAATAGGAAAGATGGGTGTTGGGGGTGTCGAAATGACTCGAGGTGATGTACTATCTTCTAAGTAAAAATGTGCAGTCTGAAAACATTTTCTAGAGAGAGAAACAAGCAAATGACACTATGAAATGTTTTAAATAGAAGAGAGCTTCTGGATTCTTGGAAAGTGATGACATTTCAACTCAACTTAGCAGGCATATGTTAAGTATGTACTATGTGCCAGGCATTAATGAATGATATATATAGAACTTAAAAAACCCCAAAACACTTCTTAAATTGTATTAACAAACCTGCTATAGAGAAATAGAATGAACTGAATGATACTGTCACTGCGCCACCCCAGCCCCAGTTCATATTATTTTTACCTGTACCAGATGCAGAAGAAAGAGCAGATATCAGACATATTGAAAGAAGAAAAGGCACTTGGAGCTCTGTTTGGTACTAAATAGTACTTTGCAGAAAAATGAAACCTCTCCCAAACCCGGCAAATTAGTCTTCCACTGTACATTTATCATGTCTCCCCTCCACTGTATAGGAACAGAAGTGAAGCTGAAGAGATGGTTTGAAATACTTTCTTTAGCATATCCCGAGCCCTCTTCTATTTCAGATTTTTAATTGCTTATAAAATGAGGCATGCTGTCACTGAGTAGAATCGAGAGATCACAGTGGTGCCATTTTGCTAATAATAATAAAAAGAGGTAGCTTCATATTTGATCTAGGCTAACATGGCAGTACCAGATACAAGCCAAGGAAATCATCATGATGCAGGCGACTGGAAGCAGGGGAGTTTTTCTTTCCAACAGATGCTAGCCTTGTTGATGAGGGGGTTTAAGAATGAATACAAATGGAATCAGCTGCAACTCTGACCCAAGATGTAACTTGCATCTATTTTCATTCAGATAATAAGTGTAGCATCTGGTTAGAGCAAACTCGAAACTATTGAGAGGGGTAAATAACCAACTGCTGCTTTAAAGCAATGTAAAACATCCTTAATTAAAAAACTCAGATAATTAAACCTGCTAATGACACTCTTTGACGTGGCTCATTTAATTTATTTGCAATATTATTCACAAGTTGTTAATTTTAAATAGAAATACATGTGTAAGTGAAAAAATAATAATTTTGTATTTATGAAATTCCAGGATGGTTATTCTAATGTGGTTTTAGGCAAAATACGGTCCCATAGTAGCTATTTTTAGTAACTTTTGTTTTGCTTAAGCTGTTTTCTGAAGATGTAACTGGTGTGAGATGGCATATAATTTATTTATTCATCTACTTAATACATAGCAATGATATGCATACAATGAAAAACTAGAGCTACGTTCTTAGAGTGATGGAGAAGGATAAAAATGACCCCGAATACGATCAAGAGGAATAGAAAACAAGAACCCAGGAATAGTGATGCAGCTTCCAGGAGTGAAGTATGGCATTACTTTTTCTCTAAGCCAGCGGTTCTCAAACTTTCTGGATTCCAGACCCCTATACATTCTAAAAACTACTGGGCACTCTCCCAACTAGCTTTTGTTTCTGTGGGTTTTTATCTTTTGAGTTTTAATATATTAGAAATGAAAAAAAACTTTGTATTATTATCAAAATAGTTTTGACCTCAGGGATCTAGGATCTTGGGGATCTCTGGGGGGCCCCTAAACCATACTCTGCGAACTACTGCTCTAAGCTGAGCATCCCCAATTCCTATCACTGTTCCTCATGATGACTCATTCCTTGAAGCAGCTGGTGGCACAGTGGATAGAGTGCTGAGCCTGGAGTCAGAAAGACCCGAGTTAAAATCTGGCCTCTGATACTTGCTAGCTATGTGATACTGGACAAGTCACTTAATTTCTGTTTGCCTCAGTTTCCTCAATTGTAAAATGAGGGTAATAATATCACCAACCTTGAAGGGTTGTTGTGAGGATGAAATGAAATAATATTTGTAAAATGTACTTAGCACAGAGTACACAGTAGGCACTATATAAATGATTATTCTCTTCCATTTCCCTTCCATCAAGCACCATACTTTCTAGATGTCTCACCATTCTAGCTGTCCTCCTTTGGACTCACTCCAGGTTTTCAATGTTATTCCTGATCTGTATTAGCACAACTTAAATGTAATGTTCCAGACCTGTTCTGAACCACAGGCACACACCGAGTGTGGGCTGGGTCTTCCTGGATAGCCTAGAATAGAAGGTACTATTGCTTGCTACGATATAAACTCTACTTCCAGTAATGCAGCCTAAGAGGTTATTAGTTTCCATAGAGATGACTCACATTAAGCTTTAGCTAATTGAAATACCAAGGTCTTTATCACATGATTTTGAAGTCAGATCCCCCCATCCTATACCTAAATAATTGAGCTTCTGAACCAAAATACAGGGGGTCCTATTTATTCTTGTCAAATTTCATCTTGTTGATTTTCTCAGTGTTCCACTCTGTCAAGATGTATTTGAATCTTGATCTTATCAAACATATGAGCTTTCTCTGCCTGAAGACTTAAAAGTTTATGTTTTTAATAGCTTCATCACAGATACAATTATGGAAGAGGACAAGGGGCTGGGGAGGGTCCCATAGTATTCCATACTCCCACTAGATCAACACAGAGCCATTAAGACACTCTTTGTGTCTTAGTAAATAACAAGGATAAATAAATAAATATATATATAATGTAATAATAATAAAGGTGAAAAGGGAGCAGTTTTGAAACATTGCCCATTAATTCAACAAATATTCATTGAATGTCCATTGAGCACGAAGTTTCAGAAGGAAACAACAGAAATTATGCTCTCTACCCTTAACAACCCCACAAGCAAAGATGAACAAGTCATATGCAGATAGTAAGAAGATTAATTTGATGAAAGCAGAGAGGCTCATTTAGAAGAGTAATGAGAATTGGCTGGAGTCCTTGTGCCATTTAGTTAAGGGACTTAGATGCTGGACAATGATGTCTCTATTAGATAATCAGGCACTGAAGGCATTGATGATCATATGATTAATATTAGTTGAAAAAAATTAACATGCTAAGCAGTGAAGCTCATAACATAGTATATTGAGTTTTTTAAGGAGAAAAAAATTTTTTTAGCAAGTTAAAAAAATGAACTAGATATCCAAATCAATGGAATCTCGTTCTCTAGTTGAAGGTTTCACCGGCTCTCATCTGGTCTCTTTTAAGAGTCTGCTAATTTTTCCTCCCACCTCAAGTGTCTCTGCAATCCTTTTTCCACTCAGGTAATAAAAGTATTATTTCTAAAACACAGGTCTGATCATGTCACTCCCCTGTTCAGTAAATGGCACTGGCTCTGTATCTCAAAAATAAGATTCAAACTCCTCTCTCTGGCATATAAAGACCTTTACAACCTGGCTCCTATCTACCTTTCTAGTCTCACTATACATTAATATTCTTCACACACTCTGTGTTCCAGACAAACCAACCTTTTTGCTATTTCTCTCCTATAATAACATGTCTTCCACCTCCATGACTTTGCATAGGTTGTCCCTCAAGCCTGGAATACACTTCAAGCTCAGCTTAAGAACCACTCTACATCTCACCTTCCAATGACTTCCCACCATATTACCTTGGGTTGTTTTCTATATATTTCTATGTGTGTCTTTCATATATGTTGTCCTAAAGCAATAAAATATTTTAATAACCAATGAAGAAGTTATTGTCTTTGTGTGCCTTAAGCAATGTCTTGAATATAGAAAGCACTTAAATGCATTTCTATTGATTGAGACAGTGGATGAAATGATAGGACCTTTAAGGGATGCTTATCAGTAACCTGGCAAGGATGGCATTTTTTCCAAGGTATAATAATAGGAATTTAAAAGGCAGCCAACCTCTGACTCTGCAAATAACAATACATCTGATTATTATTATTAAGAGAATCAAATTTAGAGCTAGAAGATTCTTGGAGATCACCTACTCCAACTTTCTCATTTTGTAATGAAGGAATTGAGCCCAGAGAGGTTTTGTAATTTGCCCAACATTATAGAACTGGCTAAGGAGTAACAGAGCCAATATTGAGATCTAAGTCTTATGACTCTAAATCTAGGGAAGGGATAATTAAAGGAGGGTAGAAGATTAGTCCAGGGCAGTTAGGTGGCACCATCATGAACAGAGAGCCAGGCCTGGAGTCAGAAAGACTCATCTTCCTGAGTTCAAATCTGGCCTCAGATACTCAGTACCTGTGCGACCCTCGGCAAGTCACTTTACCCTGTTTGCCTCAGTATCCTCATCTATAAAATGAGCTGGGGAAGAAAATGGCCAACCACTCCAGTATCTTTGCCAAGAAAACCCCAAATAGGGTCTTGACCAATAGGACACAATTGAACAACAACAACAACAAAAGAAGATTAGTCCTAAGCAAACAAACACAAAAAAACCCTCTAAGGATGTAAAAACAAATATTTATAGCTCTTTTTGTGATGACAAAGAATTGGAAACTGAAGGGATGCCCGTCAACTGGAGGATGGTTGACCAAGTTATGTTTTGCTATTGTACTATAAAAAATGACTAAGAGGATGGTTTCAGAGAACTCTAGCAAGACTTGCATGAACTGGTGCAGAGTGAAGTGAGCAGAACCAGGAGAACAATTTATAAAATGACAACAATAGTGTAAAGACAAACAACTTCGAAAGACTTAAGGACTCTGATCTGAGTAATGACCAAGCATGATTCCAGAGGAATAATGATGAAATGCCACTCACCTCCTGACAGAGAGTGAGGGATTCACAATGAACCTTTTTTTATATACTTGGTAAAGTACAAATGTGGTGGTGTTGTTTTTTATAAGCTATACATGTTTGTAACTGGACTTTGGTTTTCTTCCTCAGTTGGAGGGTGGGGGTAGATAAGAAGAAAAGAAGAAAGATTTTTGCTGATTGAAAAAAATGATTAAAATATATTTAAGGTACAACACAAATCCAATGGTACATAAGTCCCTGCTATGAGATCTGCCAGAACTTCACCAGCTCACAGAAGTGCACTGGAGTCAGATCCTACTTCCTCCTGAGAGCTGATTGTTAAATTTTCAGTATGAACCTTAGAAATTGGCCAAAGTCACAAATATGGGCTTGATTTGTTTTATTGGTTATCTAGAGTCTA